TTTGTAATTATGTTTGTCTGATTAAGACGAAATTTGCGTCAAAATCGGTTCAGATTTTGATATAGCTCCCATATATGTACGTTCCTCATATTTTAGGTAAATGATGCATTAAACTCCCAATGTATGTCAAATTAATACGAAATTTGGAATACCATACCGTATTGCATTTATAATGATGTGTGTTGAGTTTCGTTGAAATCGATTCAGATTTACATATAGCTCCCCTATATGAGCAATATTACCAATTTTTGAAAACATAGAGGTTCATCACTTTTAATTCCATAATTATTAAAGTACATAAGAAAAATTTAGTAGTTTCGAATTTATTGATTGACCTCCAAAGTTTATTTACGTGCATGATGTGTCTACTTTAATGTCAAAAAATGGGCAACCCAGATTTATGTTTATTTTCGATTTGTGACTAAGCCACTCATTTCACGGCCTTCGTGCTAAAGTAAAATGTATTTGCATCTACCTTTAAATTATTCTGACATTTTAAGCTCGATTTTGAGTGTTTATACCCTTCACCACACTGTGGTATCTGTTTGTAACAGGCAAAAGGAATCGAGATAGACCCATGGTCCCCTTTGAGAATATTCATAGAATCACTTTCTGAGTCGATTTATGCATGTCCGTCCGTCCGTCCGTCTGTTGATGTTAAATTGTAAACAAAGTACAGATCGCATTTATAATCCGATTTGGATGAAATTTGGCACAAGCCACATATTTGGCGATTGAGAAAAAATTTTACACAGAGTACTGAACACACATCAATCTAGAATCTGTTCAGATTTAGATATAGCTCCCATATATAGTTTCGTTCGATTTTAGGTAAATAGTGCACCGAACTGAAAATCTTTGCCCTATAGGGACAAAATTTTGCACATCGTACGGAATTTACTCCAGTTTAACATCTGTGAAGTTTTGTTGAAATTTAATTCTGCCCGATTAAGATGCAATTTTTTTATAGATATCATAATGTTATGTGTATGATTTTTTATTGGTTCAAATATCTATGTAGAACACATTTGTTTTTTGCACGATTCCATGTCAGCGGGCATCCAAAGATGCTATGTCTCTTCTATCAACAGGATATTGTACACATTATCATATTTTGTATGTATCCAAAGTGGTGAAGGGTATCATATAGTCGGCCCCGTCGACTGAAGATTCCTTAAGGATTAAAGATAAAGGTTTCCATCCGTTAGAACCCGGAATACCAAAATTACAACGGTTTAAAACTGCATTCGAAATCTTCAAAGTACCGAAATGTGGTTTGGGGCTATGACCTATATTGATCATTTATGCCAGCCTCCAGAGCCTGGAATGAAAAATTGCAGCCATTTATGTAGGAAAATATCACTACAAATCTCAAAATACCGAAAATTATTGAACCCATATAGACAATTTTCTTCATAGATGTATCCCAGCCTCCAGAACCTGAATGCCAAATTAAACAAAAATTCCGTGTGAAGATACAAAATCTCAAATGGCCGTTCCATTTTCGGTTATATGTAAGCTATACCAAAACGTGGAAACATATATTCCAATATCAAACTTCCTAGGAGTAGTAGACGTCATTCAAAACGGACGTCAACTGATCGCTGACAATGAAATATGCGCATCAAAAGGTGGTCTCTGAAGTCATAAATGGCTACAATAAATCCTAAACCAAAATCATCCTGCCAAGGGGGTGAGTGCGTGCCTTTTTCCTAAATAATTTCGTATAAACAGATCCCAAAAAAAATGTCATTCCTGTCAGCAAAGGTCTCATGGCCCACATCATGGACTAATGCATACAGCGAATAAAGGTGTCACCATTTCTATGACTACCCTCTTCCAATTCTAATTCCGTTCATACACAAAGTCACAATGTTGTCAGTTTCTGACAATGTTGTCAGTTAAAAAAATGTCGACTACAGCAAACCTATTACAACAATTCATTCTAAACTTAATTCGCCAATATAGAAACAATTTCGTGATAATCGACCAAGCACCACTTATATAAATTTGAACCGATTTTTCAGACTCAGTTCGTAGTTTATGGTTAAAAATTAACTCTTACATGTTCGAGAGTACTTTATAGGTCCAAATGATTTATGTCGCTTAAGGTGATTCTGGCTAATAGGAAAAGTATTTTATGGTCCATTCCGACACAGTATTAAATATTGTGAAAACTTTTTCGAATACCTAATAAAAAATATTATTACCGTTTTAAATTACAAACAAAGCAACAAATTGTACTCCCTGTTCGAGCAAACAGAAAAAAAATTAATCCACAAAAATAATAACCAGCTATCATCCAATATAAGGCACATAGACAAAATTTCCATTCAAAAGCACTTGTAAAGTCAAAATGTAAGAATTTCAATAAAGGTTTTGGTTGTGGTAACGATTACAACATTTTCTTGATTTGTTTTGGACAAATGCATAAATCTATGACATATGCATTTTTGGGTGCAATGGGGAAAACCGGTTACATGGATTGCATTGTCTATGGCAATGGATGGTATGATTATTGGCTGACTCACTCACTCACTTAATCCGTTCACTTTTACTCTTATTATATTTATGGGTTTTTTGAAATTCTTGGAAATCTTATATAATTTCCATCTTTTTTTCAATTTCAATGTAATTGGAGCATAAAACCAACTCCAACGTAATTTAGAAATGTTTAAAAGAAAACACTTTTCTAAGCAGTTGGGTATGTGATGTGGATGTGGGCATTATTATGTTTATTCATAAGTGGGTGTAGATTTAATTAAATTTTCTTGGCTATTTCCTTTTAAAGCCAATTTGAGAAATGTACTGTCATTATTGACCTGTCTGTGTGTAGTTAAACAAAAGACTTAAGACACAAGCATCCAACGAAATTATTACAATTTTTAATTTCACTTTCATACACATTGCACTGCCTGTCAATATACAGGCTAGGAACGAATGAAGGTTATGGTTTAAAAATCTCTATAAACATATTCCTAATAGGATTAATATTGAAAAGGAGGGGAAAACATAAAATTATAAATTTAAGGTTTAAATTTAATCCATTTTTACATTGCAACATTATGGTACGTACTATGGACCCAATATTTACCAGATAAAACAATAAAATTTCCCAGCTAAATTGTTTGAAGCACGTGTCCAAGCTCCCCAAAATACCGATCTATGCATTGCGTGCAGCATTGTATGGGGATATCCATAAAAGTTACACCAATATAGATAATTTATAGTAGTAGGATTTACTAACATACCACAATCTAAAATAACAATACAACCAATTAGGTTGTAACATTTACCCAAAACCATACTCGGTATTTAGATGATTATGGGTACGGAGTGTACCATTATATGGGGGCTACCCCGAAATATAAGCCTCTATGTTCCCTCGAAGGAAAATACAGATGTCTTTCAGCAACCTATGCTAAATTTAATTTCATTCGGACTACCATACCACAACCTAAAATAACAAATTACGACCAATTAGAGTCGTTTGCTTACAATAGAAATCGATTTATAGCAAACTTGATATACGCTATTCAGTATGCTGCATTAAAATTTAATCTCAATTAAATATCCGTTCAAAATTTATATAGGAGATATGTCTCAATTTGATACGTTGTGCAACATACATTAAATCGGACGAAAATATATATGGGAGCTATATCTAAATCTGTACCGATATTCTCGAAACTTTACACACATATTTCCAGTCTTTATTCAGACTCCATGCCAAATTTCTTGCATATCAAAAGATATATAGGGACTTTGGTACTCCATTTATATTAAATCGGACGAAAATATATATGGGAGCTATATCTAAATCTGAACCGATTTTCACGAAACTTAACACACATCATTCTAGAATTCATTCAATGATCTATACCAAATTTCGTGCAAATCGAAAGATATATAGGGTCTTTGGTACACCATTTACCTTAAATTGGGCGAAAATGTATTTGGGAGCTATATCTAAATCTGAACCGATTTCCACGAAACTTAGCAGACATCATTCTAGACTTAATTTAGTACTCTATGTCAAATTTCGTGCAAATCGAAAAATATATAGGGACTTTGGTGCGCCATTTACATTAAATCGGACGAAAATATATATAGGAGCTATATCTAAATCTGAACCAATGTTCTCGAACTTAACACATATCATTCCATATCATATCATTCCAGACTTAATTCAATACGCTATACTAAATTTCGTGCAAATCGAAAGATATTTAGCGACTTTGGTATACCATTTACCTTAAATCGGACGAAATTATATATGGGTGCTATATCTAAATCTGAACCGATTTTCTCCAATTTCAATAGGGTTCGTCCTTGGGCCAAATAAGTGACATGTGCCAAATTTCGTCCAAATTGGATCGTAAATGCGACCTGTACTTTATTTACAATTTAACAAGGACAGACAGATGGACGGACAAGCATAAATCGACTCAGAAAGGAATATTATGCATATTCTCAAAAGGACCGGTGGATCTATTTCGTTTCCATTTACCTGTTACAAACATATGCACAAAGACATAATACCCTGTACAATATTGTGGTGAAGGGTATAATAATTTTTCGTAGGCAGATCTGACATCCAAAGAGAATCAAAAATATTAATGTACAGCTGATCCTGTTGAAAAACGTGTCTAAACCCCCAAAAATAACAAATAATGGAGGCTACCCTAAACAATTGACTAATATTGATCATTTTCGGTATGAAGATTTGATACCTAATGAGAACCAAACGAGTCAAACATTGCCGTAATACTGTTAAAAGTACAACATTTGATATTCGTAATAAAACGAATTTTTATAAAGCTAAAAACATTTGATAATCTTCTGGGTTCTTAATATATAATATTCGCCGAGGGCTTTCGTTTTTAAAATAAATTTTCCGTCAGATACAATGAATTGAGCTTAAAATTTACTTTATTTATCCTAAAACAATCTATTCTATTCATTGCTAATCAATTGTTTTTCCATTTTTTTCCTTGCAGGGAAATTTAATATTTCTTCTACTGTTTGCCCTACTCGTACCAGAAACTTCGTCCTTCGGCTATGATTCGTCATCATCATCATGCAGCCCGAACACTAAACAATCACGTCGTGGTCGAGCACAAATGTTGGCCGCCATACCCTGTGATCTCCTGACACAAGCATATTGTGCTCAGCCTGGTTCGGCATATCCCTGGCATGCTGTCCGGCGATTTGTTCATGAAAATCAAGGTTTGATGAAACGAATGTATGGCGATGTACGTCACATATCGGTTTTGCGCGATGAAATCTATAATAATGAAATCGATATTGATGATATTGAAGCGGCGACAGAGAGATATTCACGAGATGGTTATAATCGTCGATCTTCGAAGCTAATGCGTCATCGTGAAGAGTTCGAAAATTTCAGAGTTAATGATCGGGTTAACGATATTTTGAGAGATCCACATTTTAGACCGGTGACAACGACAACAACAACCACAACAACTAGAGGTACTACCAGGAAAACGACTACAACCGAAACGCCTATAACTACATCGACAACGACCACACCCGAAGGAGTCGAATCTACTGTGGTGGCCAATGATGAGGAGACGACCACATTGGCTAGCAGCACTACACCCAGCACAAAAAGAACAACTAAAGGTACAACACAAAATCCAAATGATGTTACCGATTCCGAATTAAATACCACCAATGGTGAAGAAGTGCAAGATGAAGAGGATGAGGAGGTCATAACAAGAAACGAAAATGATACCACGAAGTCAGAGAATTTATTTGATAATCAAATAAATCCCGATGGCGACGAAGATGATTTGACAACTTCTGCAGATAGGGAGGACGATTTGGATATTATTAATATCGAGGCGAATAGTATTTTCGATGAAACCAGTGATGATGCACCACCCACGGAATTAACTGGGGAAAATATTGAAATTGTCGCATCTCCTCAGCTCGGCTTGAGAAATCTAACTACGGAAATACCAACAACCACAAATCCAAGTAAAACGGAAAGTTCAACGGTGGCAACGAAAACCACAACAAATAGTCCCACAATTGCCAGTACAGCTTCTACAACGGAAGAGACAACAACTAGCTCGAAAACCACACCTACAACATCGACCTCAACCACTTCTACAACCATAAAACCCGAAACCGTGGCCGAAAGATCTCCAGCCAAAAAAGAAAGAAAACCTTTTGTACCCTCTTCCACGAGACTACAACAAAGACTACAGCAACAACAACAGGGACAAAAGGCGGAATCTACAATATCCGCCAAATTAAAGCTCAAGATAAATCCCACCCAGGCAACACCTACCAAAGCGGCTACCACCACGACCATAACACATTTGGATAAGGCCTCACTGAATGCTACAACCCTCACAACTCCCCTAACATCGATGAAAACTTCTCCATTTAAAAGTCATTACAACAACAAAAATTATAATCGTTATACAACAACACATAACAACAAATACAATGCGCCACCTTCGGCAGCACCTTCAGTGTCAACAACATCGCCATCACCCGCCCAACAACAGCAACAACCTATTAAACCGAATTCAGATCTTTTGCTGAGTGAGAAAATACGTAGACCTGGAGCGAATATCACACCACCATCGGTAGTCTCGAATAAACCCATCATGAAAGATGGTCAACTATTTCAGGATACCATGAAACAGGAAGCTCCAGCACCTGTGCTAAATGTTAAAGGAGTGTAAGTAGATCTAATTTCGAATACGATATGTATTTTAAATTCTATAAAAGTGTAGAGGGATTAGTATTTTTTTGAAGCGATTACGAGGGCTGCTTTATATATTTCTGAATAAAAAGGCGAATGCTTGTAATCGGAATTAGGTGTATAGTTCTTTAAAGTCTTGAGACACCTCAAAAACATGGGGTTTAAACGCTTCAGTAGGTCTACAGTTGTTTTACAGTCATGTAAAACAACTTTTCAATCACGGATCGCTATTGAATTTATAGCTTTTGAATTTATACCTATATCACTTGATTGTCTGAAAAATGCTACACAGTAATGCTGAACAAGCATGCGAACTGGTGCCCTTGTTTACATGGATCAATAAGCTCGTTCCCTGCGTTCTCTTTTAGCAAGTCATTTCATATTGCCTACTACACAGTTTGTTAAGTTTACAGTGTACGTCAAAAAACATTTTTATTGAAGGAAAGCAAAATATGTCGGAAATAGCATACAATTTTAGAATAAGTTTAGATTTGTTCGAATTGGTCACCTTTAACACAAATTATGACCTTAAAACGGCCAATGAAACCGTCACACGCTACCCGAATGTTGCTCTGCGGTATTTTAGCCCATTCCCGGCGAAGCGCTTGCTTGGTGTGATCGACACTTTGTTATTTTTTGAGACAACCTTGCTTTCCAACTCTTTAGCTCTTTTGAGTCTATTTTCTTTCTGTTGTGGTGTAAGTTTATGCACTTTTTTGAATTTCAATGGCTCAACTCGAGCTCATTTCACGAGCCATTTTTCGGCCACTGCGACGCGGGTTTCTAGTGTTGTAAATAGAATGGAATATAGTGTAGTCTTTTAGTGAAGTGTGACTCGGCTCCCAAGGTTTCGGGATGAAGGTCACATTTTTCACTTTCCACAGACCTCAGTTTGACCAAATTTCGATCTGCTGCAGCATGGCTAGAATTATGATATCTGGTCATGACGATTTGAAAGATTAAAAGCTGTTTATTGACCATACCAGTTTTGGGTAGCTTATCATACCTTCTATTTGCCTCTCATCAACCTCCGTTCGAAGTCTATGATGGTCAGTGTTGCCAATTTAGCACTTTTAGTGCTAGATTTAGCACTTTTCAAACTCGTTTAGCACCAAAGAAAGAATGGTCGGGTACTTTATATACGGAATGCCAAAATCTAGCCATTCCAGAGTACTGGAAATGGGTCGCGCCCCAATTTAAAATGAGGTAATGGACTTACGTCGAAAAATTTCGAAAACATGTTTTTTAAAGTTCTAAACCTGAGCAGTAAGGAAAGTAGTAAAGTCGGACTGGGCCGACTATATGATACCCTTCACCACTTTGGGTATATTGTACATATGTATCCTAACAATTGCATGTCCAAATTCCCTTTTTCTCCAACCTATCCTAACTTTAATTTCATTCGAGCAGATTTAGAGCCGTCTGCGTAACATGGGGAAAATTTATGGAAAAAGATTTATAGCAAAAAAAAATATATATATAAAATATTAACCAATATGCCTGATGAGCCGCTTAACCAACGGCGAAACGCGTCGCATAATGGTGGGTACGTAGGTTCTTCTCCTGGCTTTCCTTTTCATTGCAAAACTTAGATCATCAAGCCACAAGATCATAACCACTTAAAATTACTTTCAAATGATCACTGCCCTTACAAGGCAAAATTCAAATAACTAATATATATATATATATATAAGATATATGTTAAAAATATAATCTATATGTGGGAGCTATATCTAAATCAGAACCGATTTCCACGAAATTTAACACACATCGTCTTAGACTTAATTCAGTACGCTGTGCCAAATTTCGTGCAAATCGAAGGATATATAGGGACGATGGTGCATCATATACATAAAATCGGACGAACATATATATGGGAGCTATATCGAAATCTCGACCGATTTTCCCGAAACTCACCACTCATCATTCTAGACTCAATTTAGTACGCTAAGCCAAATTTTGTGCAAATCGAAGCATATAAAGGGACTTTGGTACACTATCTACCTCGAAGTATATATAGAGACTTTGGTACACCATTTACCTTAAATCGGACGAAAATATATATGGGAGCTATATCCAAATCTGAACCGTTTTTCAGGAAACTTGACACACATAATTCTAGACCTAATTCATTACGCTGTACCAAATTTCGTGCAAATCCAAAGATATATAGGGACTTTGGTACACCATTTACCTTAAATCGGACGAAAATGTATATGGGAGATATATCCAAATCTGAACCGAATTTTCCCAATTTCAATAGGATTCGTCCATGGGCCAATTAAGTGACATATGCCAAATTTCATCCAATTCGGATTATAAATGCGACCTGTACTTTGTTTACAATTTAACATCGACAGACAGACGGACGGACATGTATAAATCGACTCAGGAAGTGATTCTATGCATATTCTCAAAAGGAACCATGTGTCCTTTGCCTGTTACCAACTTATGCACAAAGGCATAATATCCTGTACCACAGAGTGGTGAATGGTATAAAAAGGACGCAAATAGTATGGAACCTTTATATGTCTAAACATAGACCTATGTAGAAAATTGCCAGCATAAATATATTCTACTCTACTTTCATATATCCAGTCTACTTTCATATGAGGTCTATGTGCAAACCTTCACATTGACAATTTTCTATATAAATTCCATTCACCAAAACCCCACAAAAAACGGCATTAATACATTTTATTGGAAAAATTCGACACACCATAAAAATTATACGAATTTCTCTGATAATTTTTTTAGCACTTTAACTTGGAATTTTTTTTAATTTTTTAGCACTTTCTAGCACCTTTTTAAACAAAATCTAGAATTTTTCATCAACAGAGTTTTGGCAACACTGATGATGATGTACTTTCTGTAGATGGCTATCGAAGTCCTCTTGACCGGAGTTTCTACCGATTTGGGGTCCTTAGATAATACTTAACGAAATCTGGTCGCTTTGTTAACTCCTTCAATAGACTAATTAAAACATACCCAAGACCTACGTTTAGACTTCTTGATTTCACTTCTGTATTTTTCCCTATAACCATTCCAATCAGTACTAACTTGTATGATTTACGAGCAACATTCCTCAGTGACTTTCTAAGCGGACTTGTGATCTTGTTGTAGTATCATTACAACAAGATCACAAGTCCGCTTGCTGGAAATTTTCAGTATAAGTTGACCTTCCATCAAATTCTGTACAATAATCGAATACAAATCCAATGTATGCTTTCCATTATTCTAATTAATATATCAAATATGGCGATTGTTCTCCGAAGATTGTATTACCCTGTATTATCGAAACATTCCCCAACAACTTTATGTTGTGTTGGCGTAGATGAAGGATCATCATCTCAGATATCTATTCATGAGGAGACACTCGGAATTCTACGTTGCACTAACATTGGCGGACCAAACTGGACCCGCATAGTTTCCCACAGAGCGGGCTATCGATGTATAGTCAATAAGGTCTCTTTGTCAGTTCCCCAAGTACTGTCGACTAGTAACTTGAGAACCTTGTTCTTCTCCTGACCATATAAGAAATAGTTGTGACTAGCGAGGACTTCTTATATTGACCATCGAATATTACCCAAAGAACCTTGGGGAATTATTGGTCAGAATTTCGAACTGTCTGACCGTTGACTTCGTGACAGATATTTTCATATCCCTCGAATGGAAATCTGATATGTCCGTCATAAATTATACGACGTACGATCGTACATCCTCCTACGTAATTAACTTAATACCGTCTGGTGGACGGGATATTCCATCAAGGTAGAGGTTAAACAGTCCCGGAGATATACCCCCTGGTATTAAATGCCTTTAATAGGTCAATCACTAGCATCCTATCACACGGTCTGTTCTGGTTAAGTCTTTTCGTTATGACGTTTAATATCCAGTCCACCTCATTTACACAGAAAAAAAATAATTCGTATATTAGACTTGTTGTTCGAATCAACACTTTTTTGATATATTATATTTAGCATTTATATCGAAATAAATTGGAAAATACATATGAGAATTTTGTAACAGTAGTCAAATAAACGGGAGCAAAAATGATAAACACAAGTGAGGGGAGAGGCAGAGAGCGATACCAAAACAAAACACAGCCGAACAACGAATGATGGTTGTGATGTTTTTTCTTGGGATGAAAACATTTGTTTTTGTCAAAAATAGAGAGAGACTGTACATAGTGATAAAGTAGAAGTAATAACATAACTTTGATATTATTGAAATGTTTAATTTTTTAAGTAGTTGTTTATATTGAAGGCACAAAAAGTCACTTTTTACATTTCTACAAGGAAAACCCTCTATAGATCCATGCTTTTTATATACATAGGACCCATCATAGATATTTGAGATATGACTTAGAGTTTTCATTGTCCTCATATTGTCGGAATCACTCTCGTTTAATTATATTTGGCTCCAATTGGGACAATGTTTTGACATGATCGACATAAAACCGCCCCAACCGACCCAACTTCATTTACTTCCACCTCAAAGTGAAGGTTTTAAATAGATTAAAATATTTTATTTCTATTTCCCTTATATCATTACTGATCAACCTAACTAAAAATTCTCCTCTATCTTCTTTTTTTCTTCCAGCAATGCCTGTCCAGTAAAGGAAGAAGTTGTCGCACCATTCTGGGCAAACAACACTCGAGGCGAAGTGTTGGCTCTACTCAATCTCTATCCCTTCGAACAGTATGTACACTGGGAGAAATGTACACATGAACACAAACAAATGTATTGTCGAGAGGGTTGCCGCTGTGAACAACAATATCGTCTACATCGTCTGCTGGCCTATGATCCACACAATGAATGTCGTGGTATCTTCTCAGATTGGTTTAGATTTCCATCGTGTTGTATCTGCAAATGCTACAATATACCATTAGATTTTCGGGCAACATCAAGATCACCGCGATCCGAGGGTGGTGCCGAAGATTATCGTCATCCCATTGATATTGCCGAAGAACAAGTTAAAAATGCTATCTATGAACATGCCACGGAAGATTGGTATAGACCAAAGGATGATTTTGATTTTTATGAGGGTTAATGTTAATGTATCCTCTTGAAATTATTTGTTTTGTTATATATTATTGTGGTTTGTTTTTATTTTTTATTATATTTTGTTTTTAAGAAAACGTTTTTTAATGTGTTTTTGTAAACTAGTCGAAAATTTGTTAAAAATTTTGTAAGACCTCTCAATGGTTTTTAGTATTTCACAATGTGAACCAATTGATTGCGGTTAACCTGAATAGAGTTCTTTTGTTATATTTTCTCGGACAGGAGATGCTAAAAATATAGAGAGTCTATATAGTATAAGATTATATGTATTAATTTATTTTATATTTTTAATTTTTAAGTTAAGACGATTATACAGTTAAAAACAGTTATAATGAACAATGTTTCACTGATTTTAATTTGATAAATTGTCTTGTCAGTTTGATAAATTGTTTCTTCAATTTGATACATTGTTTCTTCCATATGATAAATTCTTTCTTCAATTTGATAACATATTTCTTCAAATTTGATAAAATGTTTCAAAGTCCATTATAACCGTTATTAACTGCAGTTGTTAATAGCAATTAAGCAACAACTTTTGTGTTTGTTTGTAAATATAGTTCGAAACACAATTGTTATAAGTTTTTCATGAGCAAAGAACAAAAATCGAAAAAGAGCGTTTTGTACCTTAAAAATACTTTTTAAACTTTTAATTATCCTTATGATCCGAAATACAGAGATCATATAGGTAAGCTAATTTAAGTTATAAAATATTTAGTTTCTTAAATATTATTTATTCAAAATACATACATATATACACAATAAATATGAACATGTACAGTGTGGAGCAAAACTGAATAGTCGTGTATATCACCTTTATAAGTGTTTTAGTAAATAAAAACCATATCGTTTGTCGTAATGTTACAATTTCTTTTACATATATTTTTTATATTCGAAATATTCACCTGTGACCACATGAGATATATATATATATATACTTTACATAGCTGCCTTGTGACAGAACATCTGTTCCACAAGCCGAGCTTAAAAAAAAATTCCAGGCGCGTCGGTCTTGTGCGCAGCTTTTCCAATATGAAAACCCATGCTCCGTGATGTTGAACGACCTATAGATCTTTCGGAGAATTTTTCTCTCAAACACAAGAGCTACCTACTTTGCTTGCGCAAGTACCATTGCTTCAGATCCATACAACAGCACGGGTAGTATCAACGTCTTGTAAAGTGTGAATTTGGTCTGGCGAGAGGTGGCCTTGTTTCTGAATTGCTTACTTAGCCATAGTAGCATCTGTTGGCCAAAACTATTCTCCTCCGAATTTCAAAACTGATGTCATAAGTTTTATTTATGGCGGTACCAAGGTTTATAAAATCTTTGACTACACCGAAGCTGTAGTTCTCAAGTTCCACAGATGGTTCCAGTCTACTGGACGCCTTGCGCGATGATACCATTAATTTATTTTGGTCTTCACGAAATTGTTCACCTTTGCCTCTCGTATAACCTTTTCCAGCAGGATGTTAAAAAAATCACACGACAAACTGTCACCTTGTCAGAATTCTCGTTCGTTACTAAAGGGCTTCGAGATGTCCTTTCCGACTTTAACAGCTGACCTTGTCCCTATAAAAGTTATACTGTGTAGCCGTATTAATTTTGCAGGAGTCGCTTTAAACACCTCTGAACGGATGAGGTATCGAATGCAGCTTTATAGTTGACGAATAGGTAGAATGTGTCGTTTTTCGTGCGCCAGGGTCTGGTGCAGAGTGAAAATCTGATCAATGGTGGATTTGCCAGGCCTTAAACCGCATTGGTATGGTCCAATAATGTCATTGGCCATTGGCTTCAGTCGTTTACATGCGATGCGAAAAATACTTATTCCTCTATAATTAGCACATATCGTCTTGTCTTTTTTTGCGCATGGTACATAGGATGCTTAGGCATGCATTCCTCTAGCCAAGTTGTACTAATCAGCTGCTTTATTGTTCTTCAGCCGATTAATTGCTACTCTGACCTCATCTTGGCTAGGTGATATACACTCTATACCGTTATTGAGAATCATGGAGAATCATCCTTCAGGATAAGAGGACTAGGAAACCGTAATTACTGCTTAGATTTAGATTAGGTTTTAAATACAAAAAGCGTCGAACTTTTTAAGGCCAACCACCAATATTTTTGTGGATGCCTTATGAGTGACGAACATGAATTTAATCGACGACTGATGCAGATGGTTTAGATGACCAGATCGGCAGATATTTTAGAACTTAAACCAAATTTATAAAAAGGGTCTTTGGTCCTTTCCTTAACTGGGATTTTTTATTATTTCTGTATAGTTTATCATCAAATACAAATGTGAGCGAAAATTGTTTATAAGAAGATCACGTTTTTATAAAACAGCCAGCCAAAAGAGTCAAAAAGTCTAAAAGCTGACTTCTTGGTTACTACGTATCGTTACTGTACATTAATACAGCGTTTGTGGAGACGAGTAGAGTGGCTTAAAATTTTCGATACAATAACAAAAATTGTCAGATCCATTTTCTCTGATCCTAACCCTCTACTTGTTTTCTTACCTATTTGAATAATATTTAATTTCGAAACCAATTACTCGACATTCTACATAAAGGCCATATTATTGTTCAGATAAAAATTGTTTGTAAATTATGCTGGTTTTAATTAGTAAACCTTTTTCGATTATCATTTAAAATCCTTACCATTAAGGTAGACATATTTTTAATTGTATATTATATATTTTTTTATTTGTAATATCTATTTTTAAAATGTTTTGTAAATTTTAAGGCTAGTGATAATGTGATCTTGTAAATGCCTATTTCTGAATGAAGAATCGACCGAACGATGGCGGTATTCAGAAATGTAATACATATTTTTTATTTGTTCATAACAATGTATTCATTTTTATACAACTATAATCGAATCTAATGTATTTATGTATATTACTATTATTTTTTTATTTAAATGTTATAATTAAAACAACAATAAATTTTTGCATTTATATTTAAAATCGTTGAGTTTTTATTAATAAATGCATACAGGGTGAGATAAAAAAAACTGCAACAAAGTCAAACGCCATCATTTTTACATTTTTTTATACCCTTCACCACACATATGTTTGTAACATGCAAAAGGAAACGAGATAGACACATGGCTCCTTTTGAGAATATGCATAGAATCACTTTCTTAGTCGATTTATGCATGTCCGTCCGTCTGTAGATGTTAAATTATAAACAAAGTACAGGTCGCATTTATGATCCGATTTCGATGAAATTTAGCACAAGTCACTTATTCGGCCCAAGGACGAAACCTATTGAAATTGGGAAAATCGGTTCAGATTTAGATATAACTCCCATATATATATATATTTAACCGATTTAATGTAAACGGTCCCTATATATCATTCGATTTGCACGAAATTTGATACAGCCTAATCATTTATGATGTCTGCCAAGTTTGGTGAAAATCGGTACAGATTTAGATATACCTCCCATATATAGTTTCGTCCGATTTCATGTAAATGGTCCACCAAAGTCCCTATATATCCTTCAATTTGCACGAAATTTGGCATAACGTACTGAATTGAGCCTAGAATGATGTCTGCACAGTTTCGTGAAAATCGTTCCTCATTTAGATATAGCTCCCATATATAGTTTCGTCCGATTTTATGTAAATGGTGCACCAAAGTCCCTATGTATCCTTCGATTTGCGACCTGTACTTTTTCTCGAAATTTTGCAGACATCACTCTAGGCTTAATTCAATACGTTATGCCAAATTTCGAGAAAATCGGTCAAGATTTAAATATAGTTCCCATATATAGTTTCATCCGATTTCATGTAAATGGTGCCCCAAAGTCCCTATATATCTTTCGATTTGCACGAAATTTGGCATAACGTACTGAATTGAGCCTAGAATGATGTCTGCCAAGTTTCGTGAAAATCGGTCAAGATTTTGATATAGCTCCCATATATAGTTTCGTCCGATTTTAGGTAAATGGTCCACCAAAGTCCCTATATATCCTTCGATTTGCACGAAATTTGGCATAACGTACTGAATTGAGCCTACAATGATGTCTGCCAAGTTTCGAGAAAATTGTTCCAGATTTCTATATAGCTCCCAGATATAGTTTCGTCCTATTTCATGTAAATGGTGCACCAAAGTCGCTATATATCTTTCGATTTGCACGAAATTTGGCATAACGTACTGAATTGAGCCTAGAATGATGTCTGCCAAGTTTCGTGAAAATCGGTCAAGATTTTGATATAGCTCCCATATATAGTTTCGTCCTATTTTAGGTAAATGGTCCACCAAAGTCCCTATATATCCTTCAATTTGCACGAAATTTGGCATAACGTACTGAATTGAGTCTAGAATGATGTCTGCCAAGTTTCATGAAAATCGGTCCTTTAGATATAGCTCCCATATATAGTTTCGTCCGATTTTATGTTAATGGTGCACCAAAGTCCCTATGTATCCTTCGATTTGCACGAAATTTGGCATAACGTGCTGAATTGAGCCTAGAATGATGTCTGCCAAATTTCGTGAAAATCGGTCAAGATTTAGATATAGCTCCCATATATAGTTTCGTCCGATTTTAGGTAAATGGTCCACCAAAGTCCCTATATATCCTTCGATTTGCACGAAATTTGGCATAACGTACTGAATTGAGCCTAAAGTGATGTCTGCCAAGTTTCGAGAAAATTGGTCCAGATTTCTATATAGCTCCCAGATATAGTTTCGTCCGATTTCATGTAAATGGTGCACCAAAGTCGCTATATATCTTTCGATATGCACGAAATTTGGCATAACGTACTGAATTGAGCCTAGAGTGATGTCTGCCTTGTTTCGTGAAAATCGGTCCAGATTTAGATATAGCTCCCTTTTATTATAGATTGATTTTAAGTAATTGACGCACCAAGGAATCAATAGGCTGATAGGAACAAAACGTTCTGAAATTAGTATAACCTAACCTGTGACACCTGTTTGTTTGAAATCGCTTAATATTTGGATAGAGCTTCCATATATATTTCCCCTCCGATTTCAAGTAAATTTGACATCAAACTCCTCATGTTAGTCAGATTGACATCAAATTTTGCACAACGTACAAAATTGAGCATAGAATAGCGTAGTTACGTTTTCTAGAAGTACAGACATAGCCCAACGGATGACCTATTTATATTTGTTTGAAGTTGATTTACATACCTTTGTCCCATTGTAACTAACGAATGACATGTTTATGGATAGATCTAGGTAGATTCACATTTAGATAAATATCACATATTTTATTTCATCCAATTTCATGTTAATAGTCCTGTTTAATATACCCATGGTGGTGAAGGGTATCATATAGTCGGCCCCGTCCGACTTTACTACTTTCCTTACTGTTTTTTTTTTAATTTTATTGAATGAAAGCAAAAAACGTGGGAAATAGCATCAAATATTAGAATGAGTTTAGATTTGTTCGAATTGGTCACCTTTGGCACGAATTATGGCCAATGAAACCGTCACAAGCTGCCCGAATGTTGGTCTGCGGTATTTTGGCTCATTTCCGGCGAAGCGCTTGCTTGAGGTGATCGACACTTTGGTGTTTTTTTAGTGACAACCTTGCTTTGCAAAATACTCCAGAATAATGGTCCAGCGGATTGGTATCCGGAGATTTTGGTGGCCATTGTGCCCTGGAAATGAAGCAAGGAACCTCATTTTGTAACCATTCTTGCTGAGTGCGATGGTGCTGAGTCCTGTTTGAATGTCCAGAATATTTTCGAGATAATATTCGGCATTTATTCTGATGCCACGGTTGATTAATACGAGCGGAGAGCGACCATTGGCTGTTATGTCAGCCCACACTATTACCATGGTCGGCGCTTGAGTTCTGGTGACCTCTTTGGCAAGTAAACACGATCATTTTGATTGTTTACAAACTGCTGGACAACGAATGTTTTCTCATCGGAGAAAACCAAATTCGGCAGTTCACCACTTTCGACCAAGCGAAGCAACTTTTTAGCTCTTTTGAGTCTATTTTCTTTCTGTTGCGGTGTAAGTTCTTGTACTTTACCCCGAGCTCATTTTTCACTGCGACAAGGATTTCGATCAAGTCGCTTCTTTACTTTATAGCTCCAATATAACGGAACACCCCCCTTTTTCGTTATTTTGGGGTTCTTGAGCGCGTATTTGAATCGAATTCGCTAAAATTTGGGCTCTTATTGAGTGGCAACTTTCTCCACTAAAAATTATAAATAGAGGTCCCCAATTTTCGTTTTTTTTGATGTTTTTGAGCACGTTTTTCAAACGAATTCGCTGTAATTTGTTATTTTGAGTTTTTATTGGGTAGCAAATCTTTCCGCTAAAAATCATATATATATAGTTCTATTTTTTTCGGGGAACCCCCAAGTAAAAAGACAAAGAGTACTCCCCCATTTTCGGAATTTTGGGGTTCTTGAGCGCGTTTTTCAAACGAATTCGCTGCAATTTGTTATTTTGTAGTCGTATTTGATAACAAATCTCTCTCCCAAAAATTATTTATATATAATTTTATTTTTCCATTTGTGACTCACCGAAATAATCATTTCCGACCATATAAAGTACATATATATTCTTGATCAGCGTCGACTTCGAGATTTCTTCAAAAATCAAAAGACGACTTCGACTATTAGAATTTCAAATACAAAAAATCGAATGTCCCTAAGCCTCATCGAAATCTTACCGCTACGATGAGTTTAAGGTTTAGTTATCAAGTCCTTGTCATGGTAAGGAGGCTATGCCATGGTCCTTGAGGCTATGCCTTGACCTTGTGTCCTCTAAAGCCTTTTAAAACCCCCGTCATTCAAATTCAAGGTTTGACAGCCTTGGCACCCGCAGCCTCAATTTTCACAAATGCTAGAACTGGGCTCTCAAGAATCAAAGAACGTATGCCCACGGCGGATGTCTCAATCCTACTCAATGGCTATGGCGATGAAGAGGACGAGATAGACCGAGGAACAGCAACCAACATGCTCCTTTAGCAGCCAGGATGAATAGTGGGAAGGCTGTCATTGGGAAGACGAAAGGCGAACCTATTCATATAAGTATTGGGAAGACTACCACAGTAATGACGAAAGTCGGCAAGTCGTCACAGGAAGTCAATCATATGATTGACGATTTTTTTGCCTATTATTGAAGAATGCGATTTGGAGAATATGTGGTTTCAACAAGACAGTGCCACATGTTATACAAATCGAGCGAATTTGGATTTATTACAAGACACGAAATGAATAACCCGATACCATTCAGGTGAACCATAAGTTGCTCAGGTAACAAACTTGCGAACGGCACGACTGCTCAAGCTTCTGCAAGACGCGCCTGACGGTAACATCCGTGCTTTCAACCCTCCATACCTCCATGATTTTCTACTTCTAAACTGACAGATGACCGCTCCCAACTTGCACTTGCTCCCAATCTGCACTTGTTCTGATGTGATTGCTTCGTTTCCACATTCTAGATGAAATCATTAATTTATTTAGCCATTCGGTTTCGGTTCGGTTTTATGCGGAAAATAAAAACAAAACAATCAAATAAATTCTATTTGATATTTTTTAAATATTAAAATACAATTGCTTTATTTTATTTCCTTTTACTTGGAAGAAATAATTTCTTCTTGTATATATAGATATGTATATAAATTGTATATAGATTGGGTAATATATATAAATAATATATTATTATATTATTATTTTGATTTCTTTTTTCCATAAATTTGTAATTATTATTGTAATTTGTCATCAATATAAAAAACAAAAATTATAAAATTTGTTATATATATTATTAAAATAGAACCCTGTAACCCAGACATAATTTTTTGTTTGTTTTTAATTTATATGAAAACAATAAAGATGAAATTAAACAGAAGGAAAAATTATATAAATTTATTATATATTTAATTACATATAAATTATTTTAACTAATGACAAACATTTTACAAAAAAAAAAATATTTAACAATTTTCAATTGTTTTTAAAATGTGTTTTTCGTTTAATTTTTTTTTAATTTGTATATAAGTAGATACATATTATTTGTATATATATGAAGTAGTTAGATAGACATTATGTATATATACTTTCGATATATATTTTTTGTATATAAAATAGAAGGCACTTAATTTACATAAGTAGTTGTTATTGGCATAAAGGCATGTTATGTTTTCTTAAAGCAAAAATAATTGGAAAATAACACGAGAATAGAAAACATATAATTTTTTTGTAATAAGAAAAATAAATATAAACTTATGAAAAATAATGAAGAAATAAAGTAAAATACATTGCAACTTAAATGGGGGAAGGAATTAGGATTTTTAATTATATTAAAAAAATGAAAACAAAAAGCTAACACTGTGCTACACAGTTAAAAAAAAACAATATGTCCTATAGAAAATTAAATCGGAAATTTGTTTACCCTTGACAGAAAGTAAATATTGTATTTGTAAAGTGTTGCGTGTATGTGTTTGTGTATTTGTTAATCTATATTAATTAAAACAAAATATGTTGCATATAAATAACATGCAAATACTTTTCAATTAAAGCGTTTAGTTTGAAATAAAAAAAGACATTAAATTATAGTAGAAGAAGAATGTTATGTTATTGTTTATGAGAAATTGGTCGGGCACAAATTGATCACTATTGCCAAAAACCTATACAGTCGAGATCTTTTACAACGACATATTGGTTATACCTGTGGTAACCAAAAGTCTCAAAAAAAGCCTTGTTATCGCTTATAGCGACCAATTTCACCGGAACTTGTCTTGCCGTTAAAACGATTTCGACAGTATTAATAAGAAAATGAAAGGGAGGGAATTCAAAACTCCTCGAAAAGTATCAACAAGGGAATTATAGAAAGGGTCAACAGCGATAATTCTTTGAGAGAAAATATTCTCTTCATTATGAACTCGGAATGACCAATTGTATTCTTGGCTATTTTAACCCTCAATCTTTTGGCTCTCCCGCCCTTTAGCTCTCATAAAAAAACAGGCAAAAATACAGAAAACAAAAAAAACACAAAAAATAGAACTAATAAAAACAAACACAAGCGACAAAAAATCAAGCAATTAACATAAAAAAGAATACTTGCAGTTATTAGTAGTATATATAACTTATATAAGTAATAAAATATATAAATAAAAAAAGGATTACACATTGCTTGTTTTTCTAAAATTTAAAAAAAAAAAAATATTTCTACAGCAGGGAAATGAAATACTTAAAAATTGGTCGTAGTGTTTAAATTATTACTAAAAACAAAATATATAAACAATAAAAAATATTCTGATATGTGCGTATTGTGGTGTTGTTCAATGAAGAATTCTTAGAATATTTTTGTAGAGATGTAGAAGAAGAAAAGAAATAGGCACACTAAATACTATTTCATTATATAGTATTAAAATGTTAGTTATGCACATTTCATTCTTCAATTATTAGAAACTGGAACCCATAGAATCTTATCCTGTTCCTTGTCAACGGCATCTTTGATTTGGGTACACATGTGTTTAATGCTAACACCAGGAATAACAGCTGAAAGAAAGATATAAGTAAAAGATAATCCACTGTTATTAAGGTTCGTAAGCTGTTGTTAAAAATTATAATTGGGGGGTAGTTTTTAAGTGATTATTGCTATCAAATGATATTCTCTTGATGTTTCCTCTTCTGGAATGGGCGATAAATAGTTTTCAATCCCAGATGGTGTAATACCGGCCATGCTGCAACACGCAGATGAACGAGTATTATCCTCTCTGCAAGACATTTTTAGGGCTTGTCTACTTCCTTTATCCCGAAAGCCGTGAAGCCGATTCAAACGCTACGAAAGGACTATAGACCGATTAGCCTCTCTTCCTTTCTACTCAAGACGTTAGAAAGGTTACTAGACTCAGAAATCAGATCAAAACAAAATTAGCAACTCCCAGCATGCCTACATCAAAGCCAAATCAGTGGATACGGCCTTACATGAGGTGGTTGGACGCATTGAGAAGAATATGGACTCATCCGGCTACACCTTGGCAGCGTTCCTCGAGGGAGCTTTCAACAATGTGAAGCTAGAGGCCATCCATTCTGCTCTTGTAAGCTCAGGTATCCCCTAACTTCTAACGGATTGGATTGATAAAATTCTGGAAAGCACGGATGAGGTACACCAAAGAGTGGAGTACTATCTCACCTTCTGTGGCTTCTGGTGATAAATAATATACTACTGAAATTCGATCATCTTAAAATAAAGGTTGTAGCCTATGCCGATGATGTAATCTTGCTGGTTGGTCGGAAATTTCTAATGACAATTTCAGATATTATGGAGAGCGCCCTTTCAACTCTGTCCAACTGGGCACACGCCAAGGGTCTTGGTGTAAACCCCACTAAGACAGAATTAATGCTCTTCACTAGGAAACGTAAGATTCCTAGTTTCCGGCTGCCATCTTGACCGCAAATTAACGTGGAATAGGAATGTTGAGGAACGCTCTAAGAAAGGACTGATAGCACTCTACTCTTGCAAGAACTCCATAGTTTTCGCTTGCCATCTTTGAGAGGAGTGACCCTATCCCTTTTTGAAGAAGCAAAATACCTTGGTACAATCATTGACCCCAAATTAACGTGGAATAGGAATGTTGAGGAACGCTCTAAGAAAGGGCAGAGATCATACACTGGCTGTATGTGTCGTTCTCCCCATTCTGACATATGTTTGCCTTGTATGGTGGCAGGGGGTCAACAAAAAGATACTGCTGACAAAATTAAACTCTGACTACCGGAACGCTAAGACGTATGGTCATGCTAGTATTCTCAACATAACGCCAGGTTGTGATTTCCTGAGGAGAAATACTCACATTAGTGACTATGTTCCCTCTCATAGAGACTTTGATGACATCAGAGGAAGGCACTGGTGCAGGCGTTTACTGTAGGGAATTAGAAATATATTACTCATATAAACTCGAGGTAGTCGGTAACAAATGGTCGAGAGAAGCTGGTTGCAGAATCTGAAAAGATACCTGAATTCTCTCGCCGAAGAACTTCTTCGCTGTTGTCACATAATAAGAGAGAGATCATAACAGGTCACTGCATTTCATTGGCGAAATCCGCAGAAGACACACTTTGGAAGATATGAAATTGATAACCTAGATTTCTTCTCCAAAATAAACCCCAATCAGATTTTAGGCTTTGCCAAAAATCTGGCATAGCTAAAATAACCATCTTCTAGGCTCTCCTTCTCTCACTATCTTTTCCTTGTTCTTCCACTCTCTGTTCTCTTTCTCTTTCAAGGTAAAAAAGGATGATCACAATGGACATTAGTCTCCAAGTGGACGGTTGTTACTAACAACCGTACATCCCTAACCTAACCTTCCCCCTTCTTGAACAATTAAGGACCCTCAACGGGGACTTGCATCATTGAACCGAAATCCCCGGAGATTTGAAGAATAAGAAAGTGTTTCTTCACCAAGGCTTGGGGAGTTGATAAAAAACCTTGTTGACAACCTATAGAGCAATAGGTTGATCAGTAATAAACTATGAGCCTCGAGTGTGGTTCGCAAAAGTGATACGCAATGTTTTTATAAATAATGGGAAAAACAAACGAATACGATTATAGCAATGTATATAGATTTAGGACAAAAGTTTTTTTTTTTAATCATACTACGCGTTATATTCAAATTGGTCCCTCTTCTTGTTACATTCTATCGGATTTGGAACTATCTTTCTAATAGTCTTAATCTATTTTCATACTCGTATCACACATTTAAACTAAAACTAAGATCCCATTATTATTGTTTATATAAATATTGGGAAAACAAATGAATATGACGATAGATATGGTATATAGATCTAGGACTAATGTCACATGATGTTACACATTTATAATACGCTCAAAAATATAATTGTTGAGCGTATAAACACATTCGATTGTTAAACTTACCAGATATATATTGTTTGTAATCATTTTCCAGTTTGAGTGCACGTTCATACATTTCCTTGGCCGCCTTGGCGGAAATTTTATCTGTGCCAAAGTCACGAATTTCACGTATTTGTTTTGCCGATTTAAAGCGTAACAATAAAACTATTGGATAGATTTGTAAACGTTGTAGACGTTCCACGGCTGATATTGATATGTCAAGTATGCAGTGGCGACGATCCTAAGGGAAAAAATTACAGAAAAATACAAAAGTAAATTTAAAACATGTATAAAATTCCTTCGGCCAATAATTTACATTCTTGCAGGCATTATTAATTGTCTCAATCGTTGTGCATTCAAATTTATTGCCACGCCGTCGATAATCCACAAAGATATTCTGTTGTAGACCCTCTTCCATAGCATCCTGAGAACAATCCATAACAGTTACATCGCAAAATTTAAATAAATTGGAAAAATCAATTGTTAGCCGTTCCATAACACATTCGGATAGTGGGCCAATTATTAAAACGGGTCGTCGAACGGGTGCTAAATTACAAATAAACAAATTATATATGTTTCATTAGTTCTTCTTGTTTTCAATTAAACATTGTCTTTTATACTCACAATCTAAACGTTCAACTCGTTGATAACTTAATATCCCACCATCGTCATTAAGGATGCCTGAGTCAGGAAAGTAACTCAATTGTGTATTACTGAAACTAGCGATTTCTGTTGAATCTCTCGAGGAGCTACGTTGATGTTTTTTCCGACGAAAAAATGATCGGCGTGTCGATGTACTACCGCGGCGAGCAGTGCTACCACTTTCACATTCCACAACTTCGGCAGCACGCATTTCTTCTTCAACTCTGAAATTAATAATAAAAAAATGATTTTTCCCATTAAAATTACAAATATAATCACTTACTTCATTTGGGATGGTATTATACCACACTCCTTACGATATCCTTTAGAATCCAATTTCCAAGCACGCCACAATCCGAAAGTCCCATTGAACACTGTATTATCTACATAGAGAACTTCATCTTTGACAAAACGTAAATCACCTTCGTTCAAGTCACCAGTACGATCAAACCCCACTCGTATATAAAAAGAATCACCAGATTTGTCTTTGATTTGTTTTAATTCTATAATGAGGAATGAGAAGAAATAAATTAATTTTAAAACTAAAATCGATGACGGCTCCACAATGAATTAGGACAAAGACGGAAAAAATCAAAGACTACAAAATGTTGTGCATGTTTTTTGGCGAAGTTTGTGTGCCACTAGCTGTCAACCGAAATTATTTTGGTAATTGACCTCACTACTTACTTTTCAGTTTATTTTGCACCAACATTGTTACAGTATCGGTCAATTTTGAGATCTCATTTGCTGCTTGTTCGGCCGTAACACATCTCAGATCCACACCATTATACTCCAGAATTTGATCACCTTTACGGACGCCGGCCCGATCTGAGGGCGAACCGGGATGTACATCGTGCACGAATATACCAACTTTATTGCCACCGAAAAGTTTGATACCCGGATTTTTCGACTTATCCATGTGTAGGGTAACATAACGGGGCTCCTCTTCATATGGCAGTGTTGATGTTGTTGATGCCGTTGTTGTGGTCGTTGCATTTGACGATGGCAAATCTTGACTTGAACTGATGTCCGATTGATTTTCCAAACTATCGGCAAAACTTTGATCCTTAATGGATTTTTGTGATATCAGCGATGTAGATTGTGGCATTATTGCACTTTGTGTCATAACATTTGTTGGCTGTTGGTTCGATACAATGGGCATGGGTGGCAGTGAGGCCAACATTGGTCGCAATGGGGGACGTGGTGAATTACGTGGTGTTGGCGAGCCCGAATGATTTACCGGAGATTCAGGTTCTAAATTGTGAGTGCCTTCATATTCAGCTGAGTGAAATTCTGCAAGATATAGAAAAAGGAAAAAATTTAAAATGTACCTCCACCACTCACTTTGTAATCGCATGTTCCTACTCACTTTCTGGATTATATTGCACCAACATCGTTATGGAATTACCACATTGACGCAATACATTAGCTGCTATATCATTTGTAGCCGAGCGCATATTTAAGCCGCAGACTTCTAAGAGTTGATCGCCCACCTGAAGACCAGCACGAGTGGCAATACTTTTGTCGGCTACAGTTGATACAAAAATACCGCCTCCATTGTTATTACATTGAATTGTAATACCGAGCGACTTGTCGCTCTTATCAATCGTGACTCTTCTAAGATCTCCAGGGCATAAAAAATCCGACGGCACATTGGAATTGCGTTTGCTGCCGCCATGTGATAGCACCTCAACGTGAACCTGAGGCATGGGTGAACCGCGACCACTGTTGCCGCCATTGGCCGCGACATTTGTTAGGGCCGTATGATGATGCTGATGATGTGAACTAACCATGGCTCCACCGCCACCTCCACCCCCATATGGTGACATTGAGGAGCTGGTCATCAGCGACGATCCCGTCGTTTGACCCGATGTACTATAGTGATGATCTATGGATCCAGAACTATTCTTCACACCACTATTTTTACTAGCTACACTTGGATTCGAGGGTATACGCAGACGTTGGTGATCTTTTTTACGTGGAAATGTACCACCTTCATAGATTACACCACCTTGACCCATGCCCGATGAAGACGATGTGGGCATATTGCCGCTCACTGGTGAGGGATGATAGCCGGCGGCATGTGAGGGTATACTGGGCGGGTGATAGTCATTTAGGTAATGAGGATGATTTTGATGTTGATTGTGCTGTTGTTGTTGCTGCTGTTGCTGCATATAATCCATTTCGAATTTATCCACCGAAGATGTGGGTATACCAATTGATGAGTCCACCAAATGATGGGCATTGGAACCACCACCTCCAACGCCTGTACCACTGCTGCCACCTTGCAATAGTGGCGGTGGTGAGGGTAATGTTAAGGGACTAGAGTGGCGTATTGGTCTCATAGGTGAATGTGTGGATTGTGTAAAGGAGGGAAACAGAGGCAAATGTCTTGAGTGAAGTCCATTATTGTTGGAGGAGAGAAAAAGACCGGCTCCACCCCCACCAACACCGGCGATTCCGGAAGCTATACTCTCGCTATCACTTGGATATTTGGAAACATTTTTCGTGGCAGAGCCCGGTGCGGATTGTGGCATTGGTATACCTCGTTTAGGGTAGTTGGCAAGTACTGCATATTCACTTATTGGCGGACTTTTGGTCGACAATATCGAATCTATGGAATTTTGAGATTTTAATGAAATCATATCCAAAGAGTTTTGTTGCTGTTGCTGCTGATTGGATGAATTTGAGCGAATGAAATTGTTTGAATGTGGCGGCGGTTGGGGTGGTTGTAGTGGAACAAAATGGGCCGGATGGTGTGGCATTGGCATTTGTTTATTGTTCGACGACGTGGAATTGTTGTGGAACATATCAAACAGATGTTGTTTGCGTGATATTAAATCGCCACCACCACCGCTCATGGACATTTGTTGATGTTGCGACAACTGTTGTCCACCATTATTGATGACCTGTTGCTGGGCCTGTTGCCCCGTGGTCTTATACAGCTCTGTCGGCGTTATATTCAACGAATAACGATTTTGATAGTTGTGATTTTGTAAGCGAGGATTTCCATATTTATCGGTCTGCTTCGGTCTCATATTAGGCACTACAGCGCTACCCATAATGGGATTTGGCCTTTGCAATGGTTTCGATTGTTCCATAACCAATGGTTCCGATTCCATACTCGTGGGCGTTGCATACACCGAATGTCTCATATAGTTATTGACTGCATAGTTGCCCCCATTGCCACCGCCATTGCCACCAACACCTGAACCATTTGGACTTTGAAAAAGTACAGAACTGGGTATGGGATTGGAATTACGATTTGGATTGTGTTTGACATTCGATCCAACACCGTTGCGTATATGAGCCTGAGGCTTATTGTGCATGGGCGGCAATGGTGGTGGAGCTTCATCAGAATCAGCTCGCTCATCATCTTTATCCACATTAATGGGACCCGCTGTGAACAACGACAGCGGTGCCCGTTTCTTTTCACGATGTACAATAGTTCCCGTCGGATTTTCTTGTGATGCTTGTAGTATATTGGTACGTGGCCAGGTGCCCATACTTTTCGCTGCCGCCTCCTTTTCTTTCTTTTTCGATTTGTTACGCTTGAAGAGATTTTCTTTACTCTTCTCCGAAGAATTCTCACTTAATACTGAATCTAAGGCAGCCAAGGCGTCATGCTCTTGGGCAAAGTGGTCACCACCATCCGAACCCGGTTTCGATATGTGTATCTTCTCTTTAAACTTACTCAGCATTTCGGCAATTTTTGATGGATGTTTTGTGCCCGTTACACGATGCATGGAGTCAATAGAATCGGTTTGTGCTGCCGAAGTGGTCATACGTCGTTGTGAATCTGAACCGCCACCTGAATCTTGAACATTTTTCAAAGCAAATATGGCAATGGATTCGTTGCGTTCATCATTTAAAATTGCCATGACATCCTCCAGCGATTGTATACCCTCCATGGATTTATTGTTAATGGAAAGGATGCGATCACCGGCCTCCAGTTCCGGCTCGAAAGCAGCCACAGAATTTGGTTCGATTTTCGAAATGAAAACTCCCGTATCCAGGTGAAGACCATGGTTGGGATTTTGTTGCAAATTCAAATGTACGGTGTAGAAATGCCTTTTACTCTGCCGTGTCCTCGACACTAGCAAAGTACATCTAGGCGCTGAAGCTCTGATTTCATCGATCAGCATACGTTTGGTTAAATTTTGACAATCAATATTATTCACCTTAACTATAACATCGTTTATCTTCAGCTTCCCAAATGCCGGTGAGACATTGGTAACACCGCACACCAACTGCCTTTGATTGCTGTCATCCAAAATCAAACCTATATCACAATCGGCATGATAATTTGTTAAATCAATCTCCAAAATATCCTCTGCCTCATAGGTGCTCATACGAAAACTACGCCTAGATGCCGAATCATTATTTTGATTTTGCTCTAATTGTTCTTTGAGCACATCGATTTTTCGTTGAGCTTCATCCTTTTGTTTTTTGATTTTTTCACTGTCCCGGATGGCGGAGAGTAAATCGGAAATTGCCTTATCTCTTTCTTTGCGCAAGTTATCACATAATGTCTTTACCGAGTCACGTTCCTGTACAATTTTCTCACGCTGAGATATGGCCCAGTCTCGAACACGTTTCGCCTCCTCTGTGTCCTGGGCAGCACGTTCCACCTCGGCATGGGCTTTTTCAAGACTTTTTCGTAATTTTTCTATTTCCTTAAAGTCATCCTTACTGTCAGAGAACTCTTTGGACCAGGTGCTTTCGCGAGACTTGAGCAGATCCCTTTTCTGTTGCAACAACTTCAGTTCGTTTTTATACATGATTTCATCCTTTTTATATTGTTCTATTTCCTTATTTGCTGCTGCCAAATCATCGGACATTTTTTGATGTTCTTGCAACACGTTGTCCTTTTCGGACAGCAGTTGATTTAGTTCTTCTTCAATGCGACTCTTTTGCATTGATATCAACAGATTTTTATCCGTTTCGCTTGCCAATAGACTTTGTAATTTTTGATTTTCTTTTTCCATAATTTCCCTTTGCAATTGGAATTGTTCCCTTTGCATGTTGAATTGATCCCTTGAGTCTCTATAGAATTTTCGCTCCTTTTCCAAGTCCATTAATACGGCATTGAAACTTTTCTTATATTTCTCCTTTTCCTTCATTAAATCGTTGTTACGCTCCTTAGCCAATATGAGTTCTTCGCTAAGTTTTTCCGTTTCCGGACAATTGCCATCACATTTAACAACAACCGCACCACCATTGCCACCACTCGAAACACCGCCGCCGCCACCACCAACACCTCCTCGCTCATTATAATCACAGTAATAGGAGTTGGCATTTCTTTCGGCCGAACTTTGACTCTGACTCTCATTCTCGAGACGCATTAATTTCCGCTCGAGCATTGAATTTTGTTGTTTGAGCCTTGCATTTTCCGCCACAACATCACCCAATTTATTACGTTCGGAACTTTTAATTTGATTCATAGCTGCATTATATTGTTCCTGATAGAATGCCAATTGATTTTCTAAATTATCACACCGGCGCACGGTGTCGGCATGTTGATGTCGCAATGTTTTTAATTCCATTAACGCTGAATCATATTGAATTTTGATAGTATCGAATTTCTTTGGATTACCAGATCCTGAAGAACTCCCACTGACGCCACCACCGCCAATGCCGCTGCCACCACCAGAGCCATTATTATTTGAATTATTGTTATTCATGTTGCCAGCTGTTGTACTGCCACTCGAATTCGATGGAGGACGTAATGTCCGGTCATAATCAACATATTCAGGACCTTCTTCTGCAAAAGAATAAACATTTTTTAGTTAGAAAATCGCTATAGATAATTAAGATAATATTTTTAAGTTATCTAGATAATGTTTAATATAATAATTATGAATGAAGATATTTAAATCATATTAATAAAATAATAGTGGGGAAGCCGGTGCTTCAGAGGCAGTCAAGTAAATATGAGAGTGAACTCCGAAGGCAACTTGGGATACTCAAAGGTAACTAAATAAATTTAAACTGCTAAATTTAAAGAAACGCTGGAAGCAAGGTGTTGTTGTAGCTTTTACGCAATGAGCTGACGAGGTGGCAGACTCCTCCGTCGTGGAAACGTGATTGTACTGTTGTAATTACTGCTACATATAATCCATTTCGAATTTATATACCAACGATGTGGGTATACCAATTGAAAAGTCCACCAAATTCTGGCATTTAAACCATCCATGACAAATGTCTAAAGTGAGGTCCATTATGGTTAGAGAAGAGAAAAATACCAGCTCGACCTTATCCACTATCAGTGATTCTTATCCTACCCTTTCACTATCACTTAGATATTTAGGAAAATTTTTCGCAGAACCCAGTGTGGACTTAGGCTTTAATATTCCTCGTTTAGGGAAGTGAGGCATCTTATCTTCTGGTCTAAAGAATTGATATATCCCGTAATAGAGGCGGATGAAAGAAATAGCGACATGGTGGATCCCATACTCTGGATATCCAAATACCTTATACATGATCGAAAGTCGTGTAATTCCGGGTAATAAAAATCGCACCACAAAAAGGCTGTGCCCTGTATAGTTTGTGAAAGGTGGTGGCATGCCATGTGGACCAGTACCACATGTTTAGGCTTTTTTCGGCGACGCGTGTTCCCCGAGGCTCTTTATTTGTACCCTCCGGACCACTTGATCTCTCCATCGGATTCGTGGCCTTCCCTTTCTGTGTGAACCATCAGCTAGCTCGCTTTAATATGCCTTCTGGGCTGGGGCATCTTCATCCATTCTCACAACATGACCTAACCAACATAGTCGCTGCAACTCAATACGTCTGACTATGTCAATGTACGAGAATAGATGCGAATATTCAGCGTCGACGCATATTCAGAGCTCGCAATGTTCGACCCATTATGTTGATGTTGTCGGCGTAGACGAGAAACATATGTTGTTTGCCATTTCTATTCACATTTGCATCTCTTATGACCTTTTCCAGTAGGATGTTAAACAGGTCACACAACAAACTGTCACCCTGTCTGAATGCTCGTTTGGTATTGAATGGCTCTGATAAGTCATTTCGGACTTTAACTGCTGACCTTGTGCCAGTTAAAGTTATCCTGCATAGCCTTATTAATTTTGCAGGAAAGCAAAACGCAGACATGGCTTTAAACACCTGTGAGTCGACGAATAGGTGGAATGTGTCGATGTATTTTTCGTAGGTCTTATCCAGGATTTGGGGCAGTGTGAAAATCTGGTCTATGGTGGATTTGACAGGTCTGTAGGCCTATTCTGTATATGTTTAACAACATTCGACATTGTTTATTTTACAACAATTTCATTTGTTTGTTTTGCTGTTTTTACAATAACAATAGAAAATTAAACAATATCGAATGTTCTTAAAAGTTACAGAATAGGCCTACTGAAGCCGCATTGGTATGGTCCAACAATGACCATTGGCTTCAGTCCTTCACACAGCACGCTGGATATCACTTTATATGCGATGGGAAGGAGACTAATTCCTCTATAATTGGCTTGGGTTAATTAATGATCGGAATTATGGACTAATTGACCTGCACATTCAAAGGTAGTCGCATCTCCGCTGCACATTTGGTAAAAAGGGTGGCAGTTGACTTCATGGCCTATATTCACGTATAAAAAACATGTGTTTTGGCTAGATTATCACACCTAATTTCACCCCCTCTTTTCTTCTTTCTTTCCAGCAATGTAAGGTGAACACAATTAATAAAATATCTTCAACAGGAGGGTTTTTTTAGCATTGGGTATGCTATAACCTACCAGTACGTGGGCAGGATACTTTCTATATAAATAAAAATCCTCAATACTTTGTTAACAATCCTCGCAGGTTGAACACAAAAATCATTTGACAAATTAAAAAAAAACACACACACATGAAAATGGTGCATTCTAATCTATAATAAATTCAATAATAATGACATAATTTCCCTTTAATAGTATCACAACAATTATAAGTTGAAAAAAAACTAACTCTCCTCAAATTGTTGTTGTTGTTGATTTTAAATTATGGTATTTTGAACGTAATCAGAGATATCAACAATAGCAAGAAATCACGACCTTGTCTTTTATTTATTATTATAATAACATTAATACTACTACTTTGAATATCACATCGAAAAAAAACCAGTAAGGAAAGTAGTAAAGTCGGACGAGGCCGACTATATGATACCCTTCACCACTTTGGGTATATTCAACCGATGAATCCTAAGAGTTGTCGCATTTTTGAAGGACCAGTAAAATGAAATTGGATCCATAAACATGTCATTCTGCAACCTATACTAAATTTGTGCAACATATACTAAATTACTTAATTTAAAATCGGACAGAAATATACATAAAAGCTATATCAAAATCTAAACCGATTTCATCGGAACTTGTCCCAGGTTATGTTATACTAATTTCAGTAAGTTTTGTGCATATCAGAAACATTTTAAGATCTTGGTGCATCATTTACTAAAAATCGGGAGATAATATATATGGTAGCTCTATCCAAATTTGAGCCGATTTCACCAAAACTTTCCAAATTTTAGGGACTTTGATAAAGAATGATATATAAGGACTTTGGTATACCATTTAATTAAGTCTATCCAAATTTGAGCCGATTTCACCAAAACTTTCCAAATTTTAGGGACTTTACCATTTAATTAAGTCGGACGAAAATATATGTGGGAGCTATATTTAAATCTGAACCGATTTGCATGAAATTTAACACGCATCGTTCTAGACTTAATTCAGTACGCTATGTCAAATTTCGTGCAAATCGATGGATATATAGGGGCTTTGGTGCACTTTTTACCTAAAATCGGACGAAAATATATGTGGGAGCAATATCTAAATCCGAACCGATTTTCATTAAATTCAACACGCATCGGCTTTGGTGCACTATTTACCTAAAATCGGACGAAAATATATATGGGAGCTATATCTAAATCTTAAACGATTTTCACGAAATTCTACACACATCTTTCTAGATTTAATTCAGTACGCTATGCCGAATTTCGAGCAAATCGAATGATATATAGGGACTTTGGTGCACCATTTACTTTAAATCGGACGAAACTATATATGGGAGCTATATCTAAATCTGAACCGATTTTCCCGAAACTTGGCAAACATCATTCTGGACCTAATTCAGTACTTTATGCCAAAATTCGTGCAAATCGAATCATATATAGGGATTTTGGTGCCCCATTTACCTTAAATCGGACGAACTTATATATGGGAGCTATATCTAAATCTGAACCGATTTTCTCGAAACTTGGCACACATCGTTCTGGACCTAATTCAGTACTCTGTGCCAAATTTCATGCAAATCGAAAGATATAGAGGGAATTTGGAGCCCCATTTACCTAACATCGGACGAATATATATATATATATATATATATATATATATATATGGGAGCTCTATCTAAATCTGAACCGAGATTATCAAAACTTGGCACACATAGTTCTGCACCTAATTCAGTACTCTATGTCAAATTTCATGCAAATCGAAGGATGTAGAGAGACTTTGTTGCCCAATTTACCTTAAATCGGACGAGGTATATCTAAATCTGAACCGATTTTCTCGAAACTTGGCACACATCATTCTAGACCTAAATGATTAGGCTGTACCAAATTTCGTGCAAATCGAAAGATATATAGGGACTTTGGGGCACCATTTACATGAAATCGGACGAAACTGTATATGGGAGCTATATCTTGATCTGGACCGATTTTCTCGAAACTGGGCAGACATCATTCTAGGATCAATTCAGTACGTTATGCCAAATTTCGTGCAAATCGAAAGACATATAGGGACTTTGGGGCACCATTTGCATGAAATCGGACGAAACTATATATGGGAGCCAGCAACGTACACAGGATTTCATTTCGGGGGGGGCCCGGTAGTACAAAATGAGAAAAATTCGCTGTTGCAAACATAAATTTACTGTGAAAAAAAATCATTCGGGGGGGGGGGGGGGGCCCGGGCCCCCCGGGCCGCCCCCCTGCGTACGTCCCTGATGGGAGCTATATCTAAATCTGGACCAATTTTTACGAAACTTGGCAGACATCATTCTAGACCTAAATGATTATGCTGTACCAAATTTCGTGCAAATCGAAAGATATATAGGGACCGTTTACATTAAATCGGTTAAATATATATATGGGAGCTATATCTAAATCTGAACAGATTTTTATGAAACTTGGCAGACATTCTAGACCTAAATGATTAGGCTGTACCAAAGTTCGTGCAAATCGAAAGATATATAGGGACTGTTTACATTGAATCGGTTAAATATATATATGGGAGCTATATCTAAATCTGAACCGATTTTTCCCAATTTCAATAGGGTTCGTCCTTGGGCCAAATAAGTGACCTGTGCTAAATTTCATCCAATTCGGATTATAAATGCGACCTGTACTTTGTTTACAATTTTACATCGACAGACGGACGGACGGACATGCATAAATCGACTCAGAAAGTGATTCTATGGATATTCTCAAAAGGAACCATGTGTCTATCTCGTTTCCTTTTGCCTGTTACAAACATATGCACAAAGACATAATACCCTGTACCACAGAGTGGTGAAGGGTATAAAAAGCGTTGAGTTCGACCGGGCCGAATTTTTGATACCCTACACCATAGGTATACTGACAGTTGAAGGTTTCAACAACATGTGGAAAAAGCGAATGAGATTGGAATGTGTGGTTAAAAATTCCGATGTAAACAAAAACGGTCGGGATATTTATGTAGAAGATAGTACAGATAAGTGAATCTATGCAAACAATGTTTATGTTACTGATGGCAAAATTTGTATATTTTACAGACATTTTAGATGGAACTCTTCCTAAAATTTCCAACATAGGGTGTTGACATTTATTTGCAATCGATTATGTCATGAATAATAAGCGGGATCATAATATATAGAATATAGAACCAGTAAGGAAAGTAGTAAAGTCGGACGGGGCCGACTATATGATACCCTTCACCACTATGGGTATATTAAACAGGACTATTAGCATGAACTTGAATGAAATAAAATATGTGATATTTATCTAAATGTGAATCTACGTAGATCTATCCATAAAGTATGTAAATCGACTTCAAACAAATATAAATAGGTCATACGTTGGGCTATGTCTGTACTTCTAGAAAACGAAACTACATAATTCTATGCTCAATTTTGTACGTTGTGCAAAATTTGATGTCAAACTGACTAACATGAGGAGTTTGATGCGCAATTTACTTGAAATCGGGCCAAATATTAAGCGATTTCAAACAAACTTGTCACAGGATACGTTATACTAATTTCAGAACGTTTTGTTCCTATTGGTTCCTTGGTGCGTCAAGTACTTAAAATCAAACTATAATAAAATGGAGCTATATCTAAATGTGGACCGATTTTCACGAAACAACGCAGACATCAATCTAGGCTCAATTCAGTACGTTATGCCAAATTTCGTGCAAATCGAAAGATATATAGGGACTTTGGGGTACCATTTACATGAAATCGGACGAAACTATATATGGGAGCTATATCTAAATCTGGACCGATTTTCACAAAACTTTACATACATCATTCTAGACTTAAGTGATTAGGCTGTACCAAATTTCGTGCAAATCGAAAGATATATAGGGACTTTGGGGCACCATTTACATGAAATCGGACGAAACTATAAGTGGGAGCTATATATAAGTGGGAGCTATATAGAAATCTGGACTGATTTTCATAAAACTTGGCAGACATCCTTCTAGGCTCAATTAAGTACGTTATGCCAAATTTCGTGCAAATCGAAAGATATATAGGGACTTTGGGGTATCATTTACATGAAATCGGACGAAACTATATATGGGAGCTATATCTAAATCTGAACCGATTTCCACGAAACTTTACATACATCATTCTAGACCTAAATGAATAGGCTGTACCAAATTTCGTGCAAATCGAAAGATATATAGGGACTTTGGGGCACCATTTACATGAAATCGGACGAAACTATATATGGGAGATATATCTAAATCAGGACCGATTTTCATGAAACTTGGCAGACATCATTCTAGGCTCAATTCAGTACGTTATGCCAAATTTCGTGGAAATCGAATGATATATAGGGACTTTGGGGCACCATTTACATGAAATCGGACGAAACTATATATGGGAGCTATATCTAAATCTGGACCGATTTTCTCTAAACTTGGCAGAAATCACTCTAGGCTTAATTCAGTACGTTATGCCAAATTTCGTGCAAATTAAAAGATATATAGGGACTTTGGGGCACCATTTACATGAAATCGGACGAACCTATATATGGGAGCTATATCTAAATCTGGACCGATTTTCCCGAAACTTGGCAGACATCACTCTAGGCTTAATTCAGCACGTTATGCCAAATTTCGTGCAAATCAAAAGATATATAGGGACTTTGGGGCACCATTTACCTGAAATCGGACGAAACTATATATGGGAGCTATATCTAAATCTGGACCGATTTTCACGAAACTTGGCAGACATCATTATAGACCTAAAGATATATAGGGACCGTTTACATTAAATCGGTTAAATATATATGGGAGCTATATCTAAATCTGAACCGATTTTTCCCAACTTCAATAGGGTTCGTCCTTGGGCCGAATAAGTGACCTGTGCCAAATTTCATCCAATTCGGATCATAAATGCGACCTGTACTTTGTTTACAATTTAACATCGACAGACAGACGGACGGACGGACGGACGGACATGCATAAATCGACTTAGAAAGTGATTCTATGCATATTCTCAAAAGGAACCATGGGTCTATCTAAAAACAAAAAACTAAACAACTTACCTTCTTGACTACTCGTACTTGTTAAAGAAAGATCCCCTGAAGCCATTTTAGCCATCACATCATTTTTTCTACTTCTTCTTCTTCGTTATTTTTGTAAACTTTCGAATTTAACAAATCACAGTGTGGCCGTCGTTGTTCTTAATAACGACTGTGAGGATGATGACGATGATGATGGATGGACGAAAAAGAATGAATGAAGAACGTACGAACAAACGCAGAGCAGAATAAACAGAACTCGAAAAAAAGGGGAGGGAACGCAATCTGAAATAGAAGATTACACAAAATAAATATGATTAGTATATTGTTATAGCAACACCGGCAATTATCTACAATTGAATATTAGATAAAATTAACAACGGTAACAAAAACAAGAACGGTGAAACTGCTGCTCGTAGCAATTACGAGCAGATATGATAAGAAACAAACCACTGTCAAACTCCTCATTGTTCCACATTTATAATAACCATACGCACCCACATAATCGACAAATACAATTATATTCATAGCTATATAGGATAAAATAAGAAAAAATGGGGGGGCGATTCGAATATATCCGCTAATACTGTAGGTGCGGTACTGTAATATTACATTTAAAGTGATCTTTTATCTATTTAGGCTGCCATATTGGCGCATTTGTGTAGTAACAATCAACATAAAACATAGTCAGTTCACCTCGAACTTTAAGCCTTATTTGTTATAGAACAGATGTGGTGACAAGCTATTATCTCCCCTTCGTTGCAGTGATGCAGATTAATCTGCAAGATACGCAGCTTTTACCCATCCGGAACCGAAGTTCAATTTTCGCTCACGCTCTCTGAGATAAGCCTCCCCAGATGGGTCAACTGTCATTCTTGCATCCATCCCTCCATCCTCGTTACAAGGAGTAAGACTGACGACATTCCAACTCGAGATAGTGAGGCTGGGATTTTGCAGCGTCAGCATTCTCAGCAGGAGCTCTTTGTCCACCGAGGGTGGGGGAACCCAGGCTGAGAGAATCCGTCTGGATGTGATCTCAAGTCCAAGCCAAAGTCAACAGTTTTCACAAGGAAATCTCTCGACTTCTTAAGTAGTTTATTACTCCACCCTTATGGATGACAGTTTGTGTTGGGATGTGCTCCACATCCTTTTTCATTGCCTTTTGACTAGGGTTAGGTGGGGCTACTCATAGCCTTAGCACCAACCGCTTCACCATTGTCAATTGGCGTAGAATCGGGCTTTGAGACAGAACCCTCCACACGTCGATCCCCTTCTGGATGACAGCTTCTGTTGGGATGTGCTCGACAGCCTTTTTCATTGCCTTCTTTCATTCATTAGGCTTAGGGTCAGAAGTCAGCTTCGCACACTTGTCAGAGACAGTGGACTTCTCATCTTGCCCTTGATGAGATGAACCTCCCTCTCCGAATAAAAATTCGCATATACTAAGACAGAATTGGTGCTCTTCACTAGGAAACGTAAGATTCCTAGTTTTCGCTTGCCATCTTTGAGAGGAGTGACCCTCCTATCCCTTTTTGAAGAAGCAACCTTGGTACAATCCTTGACCGCAAATTAACGTGGAATAGTAATGTTGAGGAACGCTCTAAGAAAGGGCAGATATCATACACTGGCTGTATTTGACGGTCGTTCTCCCCATTCTTACATATGGTTGCCTTTTATGATGGCAGGGGGGGTCAACAAAAAGATACTGCTGACAAAATTAAATTCAGTACAGCGATCAGCTTCGGTCCTGACTACCGTAGCGCTAAGAAGTACACCACAGGCAACCTTGAATGTGATCTTAAATCTCCAACCACTGGACATTCTTATTAAATTCCAGGCTGCTAGATGTGCCCTGAGGCTCCGAGAAACGTATGCCTGGAAATCGCTGACGTATGGTCATGCTAGTACCCTCAACGTAACGCCAGGTTGTAATTTCCTGACGAGAAATACTCACATTAGTGACTATGTTCCCTCTCATAGAGACTTTAATGACATAAGAGTCGATTTTTCAAGTAGGGAATCCTGGACTAGTGGCTCCTTACCTCTGCAAGGTCTGTAATTTTTCATAGACGGGTCAAAGATGGAGGAAGGCACTGGTGCAGGCGGTTACTGTAGGGAATTAGAAATATACAACTCATATAAACTTAACAATCTTTGTAACGTTTTTTAAGCAGAAATCGTTGCAATCACGAAAGCTGCCGAAATAGTCAAAACACTTACTGTCGATAACACGGAACCGGTGATTATATATGTCGATATTCAGGCGGTCCTCAAGGCTTTAAAAATGTGTACTATTAACTCAAAAGCAGTTTATGGTTGCAAGTCAGCTCTGTATGATATTTGACGGATATTTAATTTATGTTGGGTTCCAGGACATAGCAACATAGAAGGGAACGAGATAGCCGACGAGGGTTCACAGTCGTCAACGTTCCGATTAAGAGATCTGTGCAACCACCAATTTGCATTGGCAAAATCCGCTTGTTCTACGGCAAGGTAGTCGGTAACAGATGGTCGAGAAAACCTGATTGCAGAATCTCAAACACTATATGGCCTGAATTGCTTCGCCGAAGAACTTTTTCGTTGTTGTCACATAAATAAAGAGAGATCAAAATCACCACTTCGAAATGGGATTCCAACGGAGAGGATTACTGTCGGCTATGCGAGGACGAAGAAGAGCTAGAAACAATTGAACATATCCTCTGGAGATGTTCATCGCTGAGTGGCAGAAGACACAAACAGTTTAAAAGATATAACATTAATACTCTAGATTTCTTCTCCAAAATAGACCCCAATCAGATCATAGGCTTTGTCAAAAATGTGGCATGGCTAAAATAACCATCTTCTGGGCTCTTCTACTCCTACTATTTTCTCCTCTCTTCCACTCTCTCTTCTTTTCCCTTTTCTTTTCAATAGTCTCCGAGTGAACGGTACATCCCTGACCTCCATTAAATTGACAAAAGCAAAGGAACCTAGACTACTTTGTTACAACCACTTGACAGTTTCCCATTACCCATTTAATATAGGTTTCCTATACATATACATAAAAATATTTCACATTATTCCTTCATATTTCAAAAAATAAAAAATAGCTACCACAAAGTTTGTCTTACTTTCAAAATTAGTTAAAACTATTTCACAATAGTAATAATAAAGCAAAAAATATAAATTCAAGTTATTTTGTTGTTATTTGACTTGAAACAGATAAGCAAAAGAGAAAATACACATTTGTAAAATGTTGTGAACGGCAAGGTCGTTTGTGTTTGGATTTTGTTTTTTTTTTTTTTAAGTTAGAGCTCTGTTTAGTGAAGTGAACAGTGGCTACATAAAAATAAAAATTGGCAAAGTGGTATGGAATATAATGGAATGCGAAAAAATAAGAGATTTATACTTATAATCTGGTTTAGGTAAAAAACATGAACTTTAAGATTTTCAGGTTCATACTTTTTCCTTATCGGTGTCGTGCAAATAGGTTGAAAGCAATATTGTGTAATTTAGGCTACGTGACTATCAAACATGGTTTCTAATAAGAAGTGAGCGAAAAATGGACCGAATCAAAGATATCAGTTGAAACTCTTCACACCCATATCTAAGATCACATCTTGTAAAGTTGAAGAAGTTTTCTCTGAACTACCTTTGATATAGGGGCTCAGCGCTTTACTGATCTTATATGAGCTACGAATATGTATAGTTAGTAGAGGAATAAGTCTCCTTCCCATCGAATATAAAGTGCTATCCAGCGTGCTGTGTAAACGACTGAAGCCAATGGTCAATGACATTATTGGACCAAACCAATGCGGCTTCAGACCTGGCAAATCGACTTATGGAACGAAAGTTCTGTCACAAGCCAGATAAGTAAGTAATATGAGTTATTTAGGTTTTAAGAAGATCAAGAGAAAATAACAGATACACCAATTGTTCCTGACCAATTGTTTTTTTTCACCTTGTTTTTTTTCACATTATATATACATAACAGTATAATGTCCAGAAGTTATATACTTCCCACATGTCCAGTTGTAACTTGTTGCCAAATGGTCATTTGTATGGCCTTGGCTATTTCCATATTTTTGCATATTCCATTCATTGCAGTCTGGCATTTACAAATTGAGTTCAATTCATGAATAATTTAGCATAAAATTGAATGTAGTTTTTTATTGTACTTCTTGAATTTGCCGCAAATATGTTGTTGCGCCACAAAACACATACACGCACTCTCACATGGAATATTGCTGCTTGGTCTGTAACATTTCGGTGTGTGGCATGCCGTTAATTACACTCCCTACACTTTCGCTAATTAACAACACAAAGCCAAAAGAAATCATGATGAGGATGAGCATGTGCATGAACTGCGGCTAACTGTTGCTTGGCAATGATGAGCAATCAGCAGCGACGGCAAAAAATAAAACAATGCAACAAATAAAGTGAAATTTAGATATTTACAACAACCACAAGAGTAGAGGAGCATAGCTAACAGCCAACATACCACCAACCAGCCAGATTAAATTGAATTGAATAAAATTAAAAAGAGACTGAAAAATAAAAAAAAATTAAGAAATACATTCGCAATTATTGTATAGACATTAGCACAAGCGTGAATGCTTAAATAAAAAAGTCCAACTGCTTTTCTTCCCTAATTAAGATAAAATTTGGGTGTACTGGACAAGAATCTTCTGCGCCAGATCCTAAAAAACCCACGAAAAACTCATCGACACATTCCACCGATTCGTCGACTATAAAGCCGCATTCGACAGCCCTATCCGTTCAGAGGTGTTTAAAGCCATGTCTCTCGGAGCCCTTCAATACCGAACAAGGATTCTGACAAGGTGACAGTTTGGTGCTCAACAACCTGCTTGAAAAGGTCATACGAGATGCAAATGTGAACAGAAATGACACTCCAAACAGCATATGTTACTCGCCTACGCCGACGACATTGACATAATGGGTCGAACATTGCAAGCGGTAACAGCCACCTCTGAACGAATTGAGAAGGAGTCTGCCAAAGTGGGACTGGCTGTAAATGGTGTAAAGAGCAAGCTGATGGTATCAACGCGCAAGACGTCCAGTGGACTCGGACCAACTGTTGAACTTG